GGATGTGGCTCTGAAAAACACTTTCTGGAATAGAAACTGTCAGGGCCGGAAACATCCATTTAATTCAGCTTTGTTTTTATGGTCGATCTCTTAGAGAAAACAGAACAGACCAGCATCACCATCAGCAGGTCAAATCTTTAAAAAACACCCTGATTGGCGGATCTGTTTTTCTGATTTGTTTTCTGAAGTTTCAAACAGAAGTTGTCAATAATCTGTTCTGCTCGCCCCCCACAGCTTCTCCTTCTTTCTAGTGAGACTTTGCACCGCTGCTATGAGGAGCCAGCCATCAATAGTAAAAGGAAATCCATAGCTGTGCAAAAAATCAAACCCACTTGATGAAAAGACAATCTTTAAACTTCATTTGAAGAGCTCCTTATGCTAAAGGCACCTTCACAGTTGGACAGGCCTGAAAATGGAGACCCATCAAACTCATTCTTGATGGATTGTTCAAAGCTGTATTCAGTATTAAAGAAGGAAAGTCAAATTTTAGGAAATATGTTAACAAAATGGCAGCTCAGCACCTTCAGCATGTTAAGTATCAATACAGTCTACAGTAGGGGTGAGTATTGGCATGGGTGTCATGATACAATATTATCACTATATTGCAATATCTCAATATATCATTATATTTTTCCTGCTATCAAAATTAAATGTATAAATAAAAAAGAAACAACCTCTGTATATGTTGATCAGATGATTTTGATCTTTCAGTTATTTTGGTATCAATGTTGATTGGGTTTTGAGTCAGTTTACGCCTTCCACCGTGACTGCCTCAACTACAGATATGGCGCTGCGACGCGCAGCAGAAGGACTCCACTGCACTACCAGAATGGCGGTGCAGAGGTAGCCCATTTTCCCTCAGTTTTAGGTAAAAATGTTTTGTTTAAAAAAATCAATATGAGGGATTATAAGATCGATATTATATCAGGCAGCCAAGAATCACGATATACTGACAGAACGATTTTCTTCCCCACTCTTAGTCTACAGCATGAGACACCAATTTAAAAATCAGGGAGGTCCGAATAAAGAAAATCAACAACCAGTAAAGGTCCAGAGACATTTTTAATTATAATCGGTTACTTAAAACAGAATTTAACACTGAAATTAAATGAGTTTTTTATGTATCCATGTTATAAACTGACCTTTTAAATAAAAAAAATAAAATAAAATAACAAAACTTTTTTCCATTTTAAAACCTAAAGTGTTTTTTTTTTTTAAGTAGAGAACAATAATCGTTCAGTTTGTTATATAGACAATTTCCTGATTGACAGATTTTATAAAACATCTGAACTGACCATTTATTTTATTTCTGTCTTTTTTATGGCTTAATAAGGGAAGTAAGGCTTTAAAGCTGGTTTGAATGGTGACAAAGCAATTCTAAAGCACATATAAAAGGTGCTCTTTTTGATTACAGGTGCTGGTCATAAAATTAGAATATCATGAAAAAGTAGATTGATTTCAGTAATTCCATTTAAAAAGTGAAACTTGTATATTATATTCATACATTACATACAAACTCATATATTTCAGATGTTTATTTTGTTTAATTTTGATGATTACAAATGACAACAAATGAAAATCCCAAATTCATCATATCAGAAAATTAGAATATTACTGAAGACCAATAAAAACAAAGGATTTATAGAAATGTTGGCCAACTGAAAAGTATGAACATGAAAAGTATGAGCATGTACAGCACTCAGTATTTAGTTGGGCCTCCTTTGGCCTGTATTACTGCAGCAATGCGGCGTGGCATGGAGTCGATCAGTCTGTGGCACTGCTCAGGTGTTATGATAGCCCAGGTTGCTCTAATAGTGGCTTTTAGCTCTTCTGAATTGTTGGGTCTGGTGTATTGCATCTTCTTCTTCACAATACCCCATAGATTTTCTATGGGGTTAAGGTCAGGAGAGTTTGCTGGCCAATTAAGAACAGGGATACCATGGTCCTTCAACCAGGTACTGGTAGCTTTGGCACTGTGTGCAGGTGCCAAGTCCTGTTGGAAAATGAAATCTGCATCTCCAAAAAGTTGGTCAGCTGCAGGAAGCATGAAGTGCTCTAAAACTTCCTGGTATGTGGCTGCGTTGACCCTGGACCTCAGAAAACACAATGGACCAACACCAGCAGATGACATGGCACCCCAAACCATCACTGACTGTGGAAACTTTACACTGGACTTCAAGCAACGTGGATGAAGTGCCTCTCTTCTTTTCCTCCAGACTCTGGGACCTTGATTTCCAAAGGAAATGCAAAATTTACTTTCATCAGAGAACATGACTTTGGACCACTCACCAGCAGTCCAGTCCTGTTTCTCTTTAGCCCAGGCAAGACGCTTCTGACGCTGTCTGTGGTTCAAGAGTGGCTTGACACAAGGAATGCGACAGCAGAAACCCATGTCTTTCATACGTCTGTGTGTGGTGGTTCTTGAAGCACTCACTCCAGCTGCAGTCCACTCTTTGTGAATCTCCCCCACATTTTTGAAGGGGTTTTGTTTCACAATCCTCTCCAGGGTGCGGTTATCTCTCTTGCTTGTACACTTTTTTCGACCACATCTTTTCCTTCCCTTCGCCTCTCTATTAATGTGCTTGGACACTGAGCTCTGTGAACAGCCAGCCTCTTTAGCGATGACCTTTTGTGTCTTGCCCTCCTTGTGCAAGGTGTCGATGGTCGTCTTTTGGACAACTGTCAAGTCAGCAGTCTTCCCCATGATTGTGTAGCCTATAGAACTAGACTGAAAGACCATTTAAAGGCTTTTGCAGGTGGTTTGAGTTAATTAGCTGATTAGAGTGTGGCACCAGGGGCCATCAATTTTGAACCTTTTCACAATATTCTAATTTTCTGATATGATGAATTTGAGATTTTCATTTGTTGTCATTTGTAATCATCAAAATTAAACAAAATAAACATCTGAAATATATGAGTTTGTATGTAATGTATGAATATAATATACAAGTTTCACTTTTTAAATGGAATTACTGAAATCAATCTACTTTTTCATGATATTCTAATTTTATGACCAGCACCTGTATGTTCATGGTGGAGAATCCTGCTTCACAGCAGCATGTTACTCAAAATGTGCAGGGTCACCTTTGAGCACGCCATTTCACTTTCTGTCACCAGTTCACCGCAGTTCTTCCAGCAGTCCACACTTTCTTTCAGTCTTTCTCATCATCTTCTCCTTCTTTCCCATCGACCGGCTTGCCACAGGTTTGCCTGCTGTGTCTTAAAGTAGCAGCAGCAGCAACCCTGACCGACACAGCTCATTGGCTAATTGGCATCACATGCATTCTGGTCCCGGAGGGCTTTACCGTACAAACAGGAGAAGCGGCGCAAGTGAAATTAGACACTGCTGTCGGACAACATGCGGTTTATTTATAAATGTTTTAAATCAGGTTGGGTCCAGATTAGCCAGCAGGTGGGTGCGGATCCGGACCGTGGTCCACTAATCCGTGAGCTCTGGTCTAAAGGGTAAGAATTGTGAATTGCGGAGTCATGTTCCATCTTTGCAAGCTCAAAATGCTCTCTGCAACTCATTGCAAGCAGGATGAATTGTCGCAAGTTTTGTGAATTCACATAGTACCGAAAACACATCTCGCCAGAGGTCAATAGATGGATTAGTGTTGATACAGAAATGTTTTGCACCGACCACATTCTGAAACAACAGGCCAAAACAAACAGGGCTGCATTGGTGATACAAGTTGTAGACTCTAATATTCAGTCTGTTTTATCAGGAACAGCTTCTATTTCTTTTCTTGAAAAAAAGAGCAAAAGGACAATATTTGTGCTTTTGTGGATGGGAAAAATGCACACTGCTCCCCAGGCTTCACACAATGGGTTGGATTAAATGCAGAGGTAAATTTCCCCAATGTAAGATCAATAAAGTTCAGTTATTATTATCTCAATGTTTGTTCTTTTTAAATAATGTGCAGAAAAGAAACATGCTGCCACCATTCCAGAGCTTGCTCATACTTGGCAGCAGCATGCAAAAGCATCTGCAGCAAAGAGCGAGAATGAAAGTAGACTGAGCCGACTGGTACAACGCTGCACGCTCCTTCATTAGGATCATCTGGGATGGATTGGTAAGGCCTCCCATCTGTCCTGATTCAGTGATACCATCAGTACCACAGGAACAAGCTGGTGATGACCTGTGAATCTTCGCAGCGTGATGAAGCCTCCGTGTCCCAAGTTATTCCAAAGTTCCTCAGATACCAGAACATTGGATCTTTTAGACCTGCGGTCAGAAAACTTTCTGTCCAAAAACATGGAGACCCTGTGGCCCCTGATGCAAAAAAACGACATTTCCACACCTGGATTTGATCTGGAAGCTGATTAATATCAAATAATTACACAGGGCTCAAAAAATAGAAACACTGACTCTGAAATAAGAGTTTGATGCACCTAGAAATTATTTTTAGAGGATTCCAGCACATCCCTGGAACCCCCTCTTTATGTGGGGCTGTGCAGAAACTTTTGGATCCAGCTGCAGGTCAGCTGGGGTTAATGACACAGCAGAAAGAAAGCTTCCTCCTCCTCCCCAGCACCTGCTCTCAGTTTCATCCTATTATTTATCAGCGAGAGACACAAAAACATTCAAATGTGTTGGAATAAAGGAGCCTATTGTTGACTTTTATCGCTGTAATGACTCATTCAAACGCAGAAAGTTCAGTTCGGTGTTTCATCGACAGATGAGCTGCCTTAGCGGATTGGGTCAGCTAAACGAGGTAAAAATCAGTGCTAACATCAGTAACCGGATCCTCCTTTCTGTCCACCTGCTGTTACTGCTCCTGTCATGGAGCAGAGGCCCGCGGCTCCTACAAACACCCCCGATAATTACAACATACATACGTTTAACTTTAAAACAACACGAGGGAAAACCAGATGGGTTTATATCACAGCTTTCTGGATTAAAAACAAGCTGCCTTCAATTTGTTTACGTATTATTTTCAGGCAGCCAGAGAGCCGCGGCTAAGTTATGCTAACTTGCCGAACAAGCTAACAATTACCTTGACTGGCTGGGTCCATGACGTTACTGTAACGGAGCCTGTGATTCTCGGATCAATTCGCCTTGAATCGACGGTGGAAAAGCGGCTCGGTGTGTGGAAATCTCCCCGAGCTGAGCGACCAACTTCCACGTAGAGAAAGACGTCGATGGGAACTGCCAGCAGACTCAAAACAGCCCCAGCCCACAGCCAGCTCAGCCTTAACAACTTTCTGTGAAGCTAGCGAAGGTTTCAGATCCACATCCGGTGACATCATTTCAAAATAAAAGCGTTTGTTTTGCAGCTACGTGGACAGTGGTCTGTAGTTTTTACAGCCTCTTAGATTTGTGTCGGTTTATAAATTAAATAGCAAAATGTTTTTTTCCCCTAGATTTCAATATAGTCAATTTACAGGCATCATTTAATCTATGGAAAATATAAAATAAAACTGGAGGTTTTTAACCTATATACAAAAATAAATATGCTGATGAAGATTGTCAGTCATCCAGGTGATAGTCATTCCGTAAAAGTTTACAAACAATCCACTGGACTTGGTTTCCAAGGTTTGAAGACGTTTCGCTTCCCCTCCAGGAATTGAGAAAGCTTCCTGGAGGGGAAGCGAAACGTCTTCAAACCTTGGAAACCAAGTCCAGTGGATTGTTTTTAAACTTTTACGGAACAAAAATAAATACTTAGACAACTTTATTGTCATTTTGTATACACACAGTGTATAGAAAACTATAATTTCAGATAGTGAATGATCAGCAGCTTAGCAGTGAAATTAACATTTCCATTTCATAAAGTGCAGCGGCGTACAAATGTAAACAGAGTGGAAGAAAAAACCTGGTGCAAAAGGCAACGATATGGAAGTCCAGAGCATTACAAGACAAATATATAGGTTGCAAATATGCAGTGTTTTGGTTGTGTTATCAGTGTGATGCAGGGTCTGTGACTTGATTTTAAGTCTTTAAAAGTTCAGCAGTCTGATGGCAGTGGGGGAAAAAGCTGTTGCAGAATCTGCTGGCTGGTCTCTATAGTGCTTCTGTAGAAGGTTATAAATATTGTGCATAGAAAGCATTAAAAAAGCTTTTGGAACAGCAGCTAAAGTTAGCATGTTTCAATTTTGTCTAGAATTTTCTCTTAGATCTTCTTTTACTCAAGAAGATCTAAAGAGCCACAAGCAGCCCTGAGTGTTGTAGACCCTTCAACTAGGGTCTCTGAATTCAGTTTTGCCTGCTGCTCTAGAGCAAGTGATCTTAAACTATGTCATTTATTTTCCCCAGCCACCAAATTTTCCCCAGCCACCAATTTGGTGGCATTTTCTCATGCCACCAAAAACCCAGCAATAACACAACCAAACAACTCAATAAGGGAGATATGATCACCGATGGTGCCACTGCAAGGCGACCCTGCAAGGATAAGAGGTATAATGGTGTATTAATGGTGTAACTTTAACTCGAGGTATGAGCAGAGAGAAATACAGCATGCCTGACTCTGCCTACGATTTTAAACCACCAGTCATTTTACTAGTTTAATTGTAATGCCTGTTGTTTTTACATTGTAATGCTTTTATTTTGAAAGCCGACCATCCAAACCAGAAGTAACATCCTCCAACTGGAAACTCAGGCATATTTCTGAAACTTTGTGTTTTTCTGTGGAAAAGTAACATTAAAAAACGCATGTTTTAATTGGATTTTTATTCGTACTTTGATTACAAACCTGAAATCTACAAAAATCATGCTTTACATGATCAAGTCTCCATCCAGAGTCCAGTTTATAACAGTAAGAAGCAAATCCAGTGTCTCATCTGAGCTTCTTGGCAAACTTGTAAAATAGCCCAAAATATCTTCAATCATAACTTAACCAAAGGAGGTAAAAGCTTCAGTTTGTACCAAAACGGGATCAATCAGCAGTTTGCAGCCAATGAAATCCGCTCTCATCATCTGTTCAGTCAAGTTTCCTGTGATATTTGAGGTTTTGGCTTCTGTAGCATTTTATTTTTGTATAAAATTGACAGTAAAAAACCGGAATAATCATTTAAAATCATCCTCAGTGCAGTTGAACAACCAACATATTATTAAATATTAGTAAAGAAAAGCAGACTCCTTGTTTTCCTCCTGCTACTTGTTGTTGTCCTCTAGGTCAGCCAAATGATGCAGAAGCTGGATGCTAAAGGAACTTAGCTCAAGGCTGAGAGGCAGGCTGATGACCAACCCAAGAAAAGTGGGTACTGTTGTCCTTTGTCCTCTGAAGGAGAATGCAGATAACTAAAGTTAATTCATTACATACACACAGAACATCTCATCCCTTTGTAATAATACATTTAAATGCTGCTGAGCCAGAACTGATACAAGCAATTAAGACATTAACATTAATTAATAATATTTTAAATAATAGACTTAGTCTGACTTAGGATTTTAATATTTCAAACCTCAGGAATCTGTATCAACAGCTTTGGTTCTTTAAAAATAAAAGGTACCCAAAGCTGTAGTTACAAAATATAACCACAAGGTGTCAGTCAAAGGCAACAAAAAACAACTTTGGCTGAACAGCTATATGATATGTGTTGATTCATATCTGACCAGCATGGTGGTGCTGATCCATGGATCTCTCTCCTCTGGTTTCATAAGTGGATGATGCAGCCGATGTAAGACCAAACCCTCTGCAGGATGACCAAAAAGGTCAACAGGTAGAAGATGATTGTGACAACCTGGAGGAAAGATGTGCAAAGATGGAAAGGGCATCATTGGGAAGCGAAGGGAACAAAAAACATTCAGAAGTTTACATTTTAAACTGAAGCATGACCGTTACACTCCAGGGTTTGAGGGAAACTGTCCTGCAACTTTGGAGAAGTAGCAATAATCTACTCTACAGATGAGGTAATTTATCATTTAATTCAGGCTCTGCTGGAGTAGGGATATGTGCAAACACCTGGGGACAGGAGCTTTGACACCTTAAAAAAAAGAGTTTAGAATATAAAAATGATTTTAAGGGGACTACGACATTACTTAAAGTCCATTCCCTATAGAGAAAACACATTGAGTTTAGTCTTCAAGCCTTTTGAATTTCTGTTTTTTAGATGTTTGAGACGTTACCTCCAGATTCAGGTTTAAGATCTGACCTAGATGTGCTGAGAGGGAATTTCCTGACGGCTGTGGGGGTATATTAGCTGTTCTGAAATGCTATCCTTTGGCAGGGTTTCCCATTGAGTGGAAACTTCAGGGGCAACTCTTTGCTAACAGCGTTAAGCTCAGTCAGTGGCGGTCCTAGATCAGAATGAGCAGAGAGTTCAGGGTGGGGGCCAGTCCTTATTTCATTGAGATACAGAACAAAGAAATGCAACAAACAAACAAAAAATAAATAAATAGGGCAATAGTTTACTGTTTATTACATTAAGTGAGCCACTCTAGAGCTGCAAGTTATCCCTGATGTAGCAGATGAAAACTGCGATCCTATCTCAATATGGCTGCATTTAAAAGTGCAACACCTTAACTTTTAAATTACTTGAAGAAAAACAAAAACGTAACTGTGCCAGTGCATATCAATGTAAGAAGCTGAGTTAGTGTTATGTCCTCAGCAAGGGGGCCATAACTTAGCCTCGTGAGACCATCCTGATCTCGCAAGCTTTCAAGGTTTCACTCGCAGATCAGTCTCCAGACTCTCCGTTAAAGAAAATTTGGAGCAATTCACCAAACGAACGTCCAATCAGCATTGGCTTTGAGGCGGGTTGAGGTGTGACGCAACGAGAAGCGCGACAGTTCAGTCTAAAGAACATGGCGGCTTCAGCCGATGAAACTAGCGTTAGCGTGGCTATCGAGCAAGTTTTATCGGAATTACAGAGTATTTCTTCACTGAAAGAAGAGCAAAACACTGCTCTGGAGGCTTTTCTCAGAGTTTGATCTATCAATTGGCTTGTGCCTGGCTTGTGGTTGTGTTTTTTGTTGTCGCTCTGTTAGTACATATGCTAGGTTAATCTGATTGGTTTATTTGGCCCGTCTATCACCAACATAGGCCATTCAGCTAACCAGTTTTTTCGCCCCTTCCCAAAATTACTTCAACGGAAGTTTTCCAGATGGATATGCGGAGCAAATCCATCTGGCGGAGTCAGGTTAGCCATAACTGGGGCAAAGGACAGTTTTACAGGGGCACTGGCCTCTTCTGGCCCCTGTTTAGAACCGGCCATGAGCCCTGTCCCCTTTGTCCTTTTTCCTGAAATTTGACCTTTTTTTAAGGGACAAGAATTAGGGGACAAGAAACATTGTGATTCCAAGAGAAATTTTCCCTACTGCTACAAAATTAAAAAGTCAATAAGCACAGAAAAAAAGGATTTTATAAGTAATAGTCTTTCTTATTCCTTTTCATAAAAGCCACAGTGAAAGCGACAAGGAGCCACAAGTTGCTCTGGAGCTGCAGGGTGTGGGCCCCTGGACTATACAGGGGACTAAATACCTTCAGTTACCTTTGACCTGCTGCAAGTCGACAGCTGTCCAACGCTGTGTTTCTCATGGTGGTAACTGGGCCGCTTTAAGTGGTATACTGAGGACCTTTAAGCATCACTCATTTAAACAAGAAGGAAACTAAGATTCTTTCTAAAAATATGGTTTATATGGCTCACAGCCCAGGGTGGCCCAATCCAGGGGCAACGGTAGCACATTACTTTTTTCCCAGCAACATTATCCATCAATCGCATCCTGAAAACATGTCATATTTATTTAGATGTTCTGTGAAGGAGGAGTTGGAGTTCCTGAGTGTTGTTTGCAGCCTTGTAGCAAAATATTCCTACTCACAGCAGCTAGACGAGCTTGTTATGTCATTTCAAACATCTAACTTAGCACTTTAGGAACAGTTTTTTCACTATTTTTCAACAAACTGTGAGGTTATTTCATCATCTCTAGCTCAAAATCTGAAATGCTTCAGCTGGTCAGATCTGACCTGAAATAAGTCCATACTTCAAGAGTGTTTTCAACTAGAACTGCAACATTTATTTGTTACCCCAATAAATATTACAGTCTAACATTTCATAGAGAAAAAGATCATTAGCAAACAAAAATATTTTGACAATGCTGATCAAAAGCCAGAGGTGGGTCAGATTCTACATGTCTCCCAATAGTAAACTATAGATAAGAAGGAGAAAGGATCATGGAGTTGGTAAAACAAACAGACAGACAGACAGACAGAGCTGTAAGGATCAAAGACTAGAGGCAGCGGTAAAGCCTTACCTTCCTCCCGATCCCATTTTATAA